CGGCTGAGCCCAAAAGCGGCTGTTAAAGATGTCAATAGCTTGGTGTCCTCAACAGCTACTTCAGTTGTGTTGCCTACCCGTTTAGTCTTGCCAAAGATGATTGCTCCTGTTGTTGATCTTGCAGATGAACAAAAGGATCATTTGCAGAAGTCATGTTTTATGCGTATTATCGATACATATAAGCAAATAACTGTAGCTGGAGGCTCCAAAATCCGTTTTTCGATACTTACATATTTAGGAGTTTATGTGAGAATTCCAGCTTCCCGAAAATTTCCAGTTCTATAGTAACAAATAGTTAAATGCTCTGTATAGGCACTTATATATTTTAAACGTTTTCATATTACCTGTTTACAGTTCTCAATTTCAAGCAATTAGGATGTAAATATTCATTACTTGTCTAATGCATAGTTATTGTTCATATTATGATTTTTCATCTTGCTTACAGTCAATCATTCCTTTTCTCTCTATTAAATGCTTTTATTTTGTGTAATTTAGATATCTTCTTAAGATGCTCAAGATTCCAAAATAAATGCTACTTTTATCTAGCAATGTGTGTGTATACATTTTGCTTACAACGATTTGGAATTGATACATTGCACTCTTTTTCATTGTTTATGCAGTTTCCCTTGGAATTAGACCCATGGAAGTTATTACAAAAGCATATTTTGATTGATTACACTAGTAATGAGGTGAGTGCTTGTCTCAAGTGTTACTGCATCTGTATGTTGTCTCTCTTCTTTTTTCATATTTGTTCATGTTTTATCAATTTAATTTCAAGAGACAATCCTAAAGTGCCTATATTTCTCCAATATCAATTAAGAACTGGTTTTGAAAACATTAGTTGTTTTCCATAGGTGAATAGTGTTTTTCAAATTTGAACTTTAGAGCTGACATTTTATACTAACATTAGAGACATGTTATCCAGATGGGTTCAATTTGTAATATATGTTTTGTCAAAAAAAAAATGTCTGCAATGCTGGATGTTGAGAATATAAAGATTAAAAGATCCTGTTTAGTTGTATTAGATTCAGAGTTGGTAGGTATTGTTCTGTATGTATAATGTACACTGTTGTTAATAGAGCTAAATAATGTATGAGGAATAAGTATTTAATAGAGCTAAATATTGTGTCTTGTGTTGGATATCTAATATGTTATAGGCTTTATGGATACTACTGTTTGGTTTAATTTAGATAAGCTAGTGGCTATTATGTGCAAGCTGCATTTATTTATAAATGACAATGATTACCTTATGTCTCAGGGACATGAGTTGACATTGCGTGTCCTCTACAGATTATTTGGTGAGGCTGAAGAGGAGCCTGACTTCTTTTCTTCCACAACTGCAGCTTCTGTATATGAAAAATTCCTCCTGACAGTGGTTTGTGTTTTTATTTTTTATTTTTAGTTTCATTCATTTACAATTCATGAATTGACCTTTTGGTTCACTTTGAATGCAGGCAGAAGCACTTAGAGATTCCTTTCCACCTTCAGATAAATCATTAAGTAAATTGCTTGGTGATTCTCCTTATTTACCTAAATCAGTTCTGAAAATTTTAGAAAACATGTGTTCTCCTGGAAATGGGGATAAAGGTGAAAAGGAGTTACACTCACTGAATGCTGATAGAGTTACTCAAGGTCTAAGTGCTGTATGGAGCTTGATTCTTCTAAGGCCTCCCATTCGAGATACTTGCTTACAAATTGCTCTACAGGTTTTTTCTCCTACTTTTATTATAGGAACTTTCATGTTTAGTTGTGGTTGTTTGTCATAATTGCTCCATCCCCTTTGTTTTTCTTTCATCATGTTTAAATTGAACTTTAAGTGGGTGGCTTAATGATATTGTGATTATTGTTCCTTGCTCTTCTACTTAAAATTGTAGAAACCGAATTTTCAGACCTTGCTTCCCCTTGTAATTTTCTGGGTCTTACATCTGATCTCTTTTATAATATTATTTTTTTCCTTTTTCCAATGAAAGAGTGCAGTGCATCACTTGGAAGAAGTGCGTATGAAGGCGATACGTCTGGTACATTAAGCATAAATTTCTGTTGAAACATTTAGTTGACTGCATAACAACATCTGTCTTACAATTTGAGTTCTTGCAGGTGGCAAATAAGCTCTATCCTTTGTCATCCATTTCTCAGCAAATAGAAGATTTTGCGAAGGAAAGGCTTTTTTCAGCAATGAGTGGTGATGCATCTGATGCTATGAACGCAGAAGGGTCCATTGCTGATTCACAGAAGGTATTTACATATTTATGGATTTACTTTTTTCTTCTCCAATTAGAGTCCTCTGGATGGATCTTTTGTTGAACTTGATACGATAGTGATTTCTTTTCTTTTTCATCTCATTGCGTTGTCAGGGACCTGAATCTGAAAAGCCAAATGAACAATCATCATTGAGTGGCAGCACTAAAGATGTCTCCTCAGATAATCATCAATCATGCACATCTGAGAGTGTCTCACCAGATTCAGTTTCTGAGGCTCAGAGGTGCATGTCATTGTATTTTGCTTTGTGTACAAAGGTATTGTTTTATTTCCTTGTATACTTTATGTTCTGTAACTTGTGTTCTGTTATTTGATTAAAAGTAATAGATATTGATGCTTTATGATGACAGAAACATTCTCTCTTCCGCCAAATATTTGTCATCTATAGAAGCACATCAAAGGCAGTGAAGCAGGTTTTAGATTTGGAATATGGATTTAATGAATATTGACAACTATTTTACTGTCTCTAGTTTATATCATTAATTGTATGCTGCAGGCAGTACATCGCCAAATTCCAATACTTGTACGTACTATGGGCTCATCTTCAGATCTCCTTGAAATTATTTCAGATCCCCCAAATGGAAGCGAGAATCTTTTAATGCAGGTTTACTGTTTTACCTTATATAATTTGTAACGAGTGTTGAAATTTTTGATAGTATGTTGATAGTTTTATGTTGATCATGTCAGGTGTTGCACACACTTACAGATGGTACGACTCCTTCTAAGGATTTAATATGTACTGTGAAAAAGTTGTACGAATCAAAACTCAAGGTATTTAAAGTGTTCCCTTATCGGTTTCGCAGTGAAACTCAGGATTATGTTTAATAAATGGTTTATTTTATACAGGATGCAGAGGTTCTTATTCCAATATTACCATTCCTAACAAATGATGAGGTTCTCCCTATTTTTCTTTTAATTGGATGTAAATTTTGTTGTTGCCTTTTTTTATTAAAATCGTGATTTGTATATCAAGAAAAGAATTAAGTCATTGGATTTGACTTAAATAAGACGTTTTTATCCATAGGTATTTCTTTTTAATTTTACTTTCTTGTTATCTTGAATGACATTGTTCTTCATTTGGTGAACATGTTTTAACAATTCTTTTGACAGGTAATGCCAATTTTCCCTCACATTGTAAATCTTCCTCTGGAGAAGTTCCAAGCAGCACTTGGTCGCATATTGCAGGTATCATTTGTTCCTTTACAGTCAATTAAATGATATGCACCATGTGATGCCAGATAATTTGCTACAGTATAATTCACCAGTTATGCTATTCCAAGGTAAAAGTGGCATTCAATTATGGTAATGAAGAAACATTGTACTAGGGGGACTATAAGATGTTTCCAGTTGAAGTAACAATGAAAACTATTACAGCTTTAGGCACAATAATGGCTTTAGTTCTAATAATTACTGTTTTTGATTAAATTCTCATGATTCAAGGAACAATACCTCATTTATTAGGATTATCCCTGTGTTTATGAAATTTAGCACTTGTATTTTAGTGTTAACTTCCATGATCAGCAAAGTTAGTGGAAAAGACACACCACAGTATTTTAATTAAAAAAATAGTTCTGACCTGTTGCGTACATTTTGGTAATTGAATTAATTGCAGAGTTCTTTTACAGGGATCATCACAATCTAGTCCGGTGCTTACTCCTGCTGAAATTTTAATTGCAATTCATGGAATTGATCCTGAAAGGGACGGAATTCCCTTGAAAAAGGTAGGTATCTAATAATGATAGATTTTATGCATCAGGATTGTTAAAATATGAAGACACATTTTGCAGTTGCACAACTAAGGTGTTATATACAGGTCACAGACGCTTGCAATGCTTGCTTTGAGCTGCCGCAAACTTTTACTCAAGAAGTTATTGCCAGAGTTTTGAATCAGTTGGTGTGTTATGTGGAATTTTTTTTTAATTTTTAATTTTGAACCCATTTCAACTTGGTTGATCTCACAGGGCAAATAATCTTCCCTGCAGGTTGAGCAGATTCCTCCTCCTTTACTATTCATGCGTACAGTATTACAAGCAATTGTTGCTTTTCCGACACTGGTAAGAAGCATTTCCTAGGAAATGTTATAATGCTAAGAAACGTATTTGGTTTTTTATTGTGTGCCTTAATTGAGGAATCCAACTTGTAGTTGATTGTTTACAGCTTACAAATATAGCTCTAGTTTTGAAGCCCCACATATATATTCATCGAAACTGCCATTTGTCTTTTCTCTATTGCCCTGTTAATATTCTACCTTCAATTTAGATAATTATTTTCCGACTGAAAAGATTCTAACATGCTACCATCATTCCTTGTTATCTGTTTCTATTGAATCGGATATTCTGATCTATTTGTACTAATTATTGACTTACATAAATTGCTATAGGTGGACTTTATCATGGGGATTCTTTCTCGCCTTGTGATGAAGCAGGTGAATTTATTATTTTTCTATTTTTTTTGGCTAATTTATTCAATTTTTCAGTGTACTTATACATCACCAAATGAACTACTGTAGATATGGAAATACCCTAAGTTGTGGGTAGGATTCTTGAAGTGTGTGCAGTTGACAAAACCACAGTCATTTGACATTTTGCTTCAGGTATAAGTATATGTGTTTACTCCTCTTATCAGGAACTTGTTATCATTTTTAACTTATGGCACAGTTCCAAGCTCTATTCTGCATTATCTAAGATTCTAAATTAGTTTTCATGGTCTTGGGCATCATCGCACCCTTAGATACCTACTGTATACAATGAACGAATAACTTAAGCCAGGATGAATCAGCAGTGTTTTAAAAATTGGCTTGGGCCAACCTGTTGGGCCAGGAACTGGTGACATAACTGCTTCATGTCTCTTTTTGGATCGTATATGTAACTGAACCGCATTAAACTGGTATAACTCAGCCAATTTCCCAGATAAATCAGTGACCCGCCAGTTTATTGGAGCACCAGTTTACACTGCCCCATCCATCTGATCACTTTGCATGGGTTGCATGTTGCCCCATTTGCACTCAATAATCGCGTTTCTGAAACTGTAGAGGCAAGGAAAAATATTTAGGGCATTTTTTTTGAAATGGGAACTGAACCATGTACATTTAGATGGTTATAAGTTGATCAACCACCGAACCAATGTATCTAATAAAATAACTTTTATAGTGTATCTTAAATTTAAAGCTATATAGTTAACAATATATTAATTTATACAGTTCAACTAGTGATTTATTGGTTCAACTAGTGACTCAGTGGTCCAACATCTTGACCAAATCGATCTCCGATTCGAGTTTTAAAATTTTGGTTATTACTATTAGTATCATATAGGAAGATTCATCAAGTGGCTGACATGAAATGTGTAACAGTAGCTACAGAAACTTTCCTGCTGGTTTCTGGGGTTAACCGCAAAACAACATAAATATATTGTTTTTATTTCTTTAGGTATAACTGTAGTAATGAGATTTGAACATATATCCTCATGTGAACTACCTGTGCTCCTCATCACTAGCCCAATCCTAGATGCTTTCATAAGTACATTGTTTAAGAATATAATGCTGCTTTCATTGTAATCAGTATTATTCTATTCCATACCATAAACATCAACATGGACACAGCATAATGGAGTAACATCATACATTGTTCCTGTTACTTTCAAATTGTATTTTGTTCTATAAAATGAGATTTTTGTACATTTCCTTGTGACTATTGGGGGAGCTCTATGCATGCTAGGATGATTCAATATGGAAATATGACTATATTAGTTAGATTATTATTATTTATTCTTTTGAAGTGGGGGATTATATGGTCTATATTCTTGACAAATATTTTAGATGACATTCAACGGTAAAGCTTGATCCTCTGTATTAAGAGATGTGTTCCTTCTGTATACAAAATGGGTTTGAAAAGGGTTAATGAAAAAAAGCAGGTGTTTTTAGTTTTTTTTTTTTTTTAATAATTACATTGCTCATTTAATTATCACATTAAGTGATGTCATTGCGTTTTCCTATATTTTTCACTAATTCGAGTTAGAATATTTTGATTTTCTTTTCACGAGGAAAGTTGTGGCGGAAGGGAACCCAAAAGAAATAAAGACAAAAATGATTATTAATTATATACCCTTCTATTATTTTTTATAGGGTACAGATGTACCTTATTCTTTTTGCCATTCTGATTTTTGGAAAGTATTTCAGACATCTTTTAAATTTTATAACTGGTCTGTTCTAATGCGTTTTCTGATGGTGTATGCTTACAAGCAGCTGCCTCCAGCACAATTGGAAAATGCTTTAAATAGAATTGCAGCTTTGAAGCCACCATTGATTGCTCATGCTAGCCAGCCAGATATACAATCTAAACTTCCGAGGTTCAATAATTCACTTGGCACAACAATGCCGTCAATTAACCTTTTCTATCCCCTTTTACTCTATTTCTTTTTGAGGGTGAATTTGTTTATTCTAGTTTAAATAATGTTTTATTTTTTTGGATGGGCAGACACTTTATTATGGTTGCCAACAATGTTGATTCTTAGGTTTTTAATGTGTTCAGGGCTGTGCTAGTTGTTCTGGGAATTGCTTCTGATTCTCAGGTTTCAAGTCAAGCACAAACTACTCAGACACAAACAAGTCAAACACAGACTACTCCCACACAGACTACTCAGACACAGACTACTGAGACTGAGACAAGCAACTCAGAGAAGGACACAATGACAGAAAAATCTAAAGAATCATCTACAGCGAGCTAAACTGTTAGCAAACATGATGGAGTGGTGGATTCTACTAACTGAGTCCCAAGTTGAATTAGCCCCAGACCTAACCGAGACTAACTGGAATGAGCTCTCTCTAGATATACGAATGAAGAGACACAATCGATGAATTTGACATATTCAGATAGCTTAATAGTTAGGCCATGTGCTTTTCGCATTAGGAAGCAACCTGGCATGTAAATGTGTAGGGGAAATAATGTATATTGGAATGAATGTGTTCCTATTTTTGCCCAAGTTTTGGTTGTGGTTAGAACTTCATGTATTCCCATTGAATTGTGTATATATACATATGTTGATCCCCCAAGTTTTGAGCATCTTGTATCTCTGGTTAAAGATACGGATCAGGGGAGTAATTGACCCTTATTTTTGTTTACCTGTATGTATTTTTGACACCATTGTTTATTTATATATGTTCTGCACCATTAAATTTGCATTTGATGTTAAGTTCAATCTTTTTTTCTTCTTTATTTGCAATGATTTCACATATAAAATGCGAGGTACGTTTATTTGCTTTTTTGATGCCAATATTTGCTTTTGATTTTGTAAACTTTATAAGCATTAATTTGATAAATATATGCTTTTGTAGAATTTTAGTGAACTTGCAGGATTTGCATGATACAAAAGCTGTTTTGGGCTTACAATAATTGAATGGTATAATTAACGTATTATCGAATTCATTTGATAATGGGAGACAGGTTGTTAAAATGAGCAATGGATATATGGTGGAAGGAAGAAAAAAAAAGAAGAGATAAGTGACAGCACAATGCAGTAAAATAACGCAGTAATTGACCTTGTAATTATCCAACCAGTAGTGAAATTATAATACTTTCATTAATACTTTATGATTACCCACTTTTAAAGAAAATATATCAAGAGTTAAAAAATGAAGTTGGAAAATTAGAAAGAAAATTAACATAAACCTTATATTCTTATGTGAGCCTTGGATAAGTTGTATTCATGTGGCCAATAGGCATAACCATTCAATATTTTGCTTCGCGGAAAAATGCGAGTATCCATTTTTTTCTTCTTTCAATTGGTACGCAAATTATTTTATGCTCAACAACATTTTCATGATGAGAAATATATAAGGCCTCGCATTTTCGACGATATACAGTATACTAGCTATTTTGTTTTCAAATATTAAAAAGTTGTCGAACAAAAAAAGTAATAAGAAACCTAGCGCAATGCGTTTAACATAAAATCTGCTTCTATAATATAAATTATATATATAATTTGGAGAATGAAAGTCTCATTCTCCCTATTCTCTTAATCATACATTTTTAATCTTCTCTTTTCTCATTTAGATATGTATTTCGCACAGTAATTAGCTGAAATGTTTATTTTTATTTTTATCTTAAATCATTTTTAAACCACCTTATTTATAACTCGTATGCTTATCATCTTACTTGTCTATTACTTTTAATATATTCTTCAATCTTTATCTTTAAACTAAATTTCAACATCATTTTTCTTTTAAATTGTCAATACTTAAAAATAACTTTATATTATAATTTAAATTTTTATTTTAAATAAAATATAATTTATATATTCAAATATATTTACTTATTAATTATGAATTTTAATAATACAAACTAAATATCAGATACAATGTACAAATTAATATGCTAATTTCTTAGTGTACACAAATATATGATTAGCTTGATTGAGGATTATAAGTGAAAAATATAAATTAAATTATAAAATTTAATTTAATAAATTTTCTTTGTAAGTTTTAGCGACTATGTCAACTGAATTTTGACTGTGTTGTAAAACAAATGGTCATAATTAATAAGTCAACTAAAATTTAATTGTTTTATTATGGGAGCAAACAATTAAACTGTAAAAACTAATATAATTAGTCAATATTAATCACATTTTTTTATCCATTGAAATTATATTGTTGACTTCAAAGTTCGAATCTAAAACTTATGTATATTACTTCAACTCTTATTTCTAGATTGATCTAATGATTTATTAATCCTAATTCATCTTTGTATAATTTTGAGGCTCTAAAATAAATTATTACCACTTATTTTATCTAGTAACAAATGCGTGCTTTAAGAGGAGTCTCTTTTTAGAGCAAAAGAATATCTAGCACATTAGTCCTTCAATGTCATTAAATTATTAATTGGATCGTTTGAAGCATTAATTATAATTAAAGGTGAAAAATGTTCTAATTTCGATAATTTTATTTAATTTATCTTTTAATCTATATAGTTTAAAATAATTTTTTTTAGATCTTATACCAATCTTTTTCAATTATTGTTAGTCTTTATTGATTAAGGTAAATATTTTTAATCTCCATACTTGCTGTTTTTAGTCTTTTTGATCTTTATCATAATTTTTTTTATAATGTTGTCTGTTTTGAGTTGACATAACAAAAAATTTAAATTAAATTTGTATATATGTTTTTTTGGTTCGTCTCTGGAGTATCCACCGCCGATAACAGTGACTAATCTCGGATGGGATAGCTGGCTCCAAGATTTAACGCGGCTGCATACACAAAGCAGGATTCAAACTCCTGACCTTGCTTAAGCGTGAATCAACCTTTACCGCTAAACCACACGCATTGATTCCAACCTTTAATTTGATATTAGCTAGGATGGACTATGGTCTAGTATTTTCTGTCAGTGGGCTCAGCTTTATTGATGGGCCTCATTAACAACCTTTATTTCCAACGTTACACTTCGTTGCTGAACCACACGCTTGAGGTTTAAATCAAATTTGTATAGTTGATATCGAGTTTATTTTGCTAGAATCCCTATAAATAAATTTTTTTGACCCATCATATCTATTTTGTACCTTATTTGCAACGTCCGTTATTGAAACATCTTTTTTTTTTTACACTCTCAAAATTGAATACATCTATCATGTTAACACAAAACAAACAACACCACAAAAAAAAAAAATAATAATAGGGACCAAAAGGATTATAGAAGTGTAAGTATAGAGACTAAAAAAATCTATATTAAATTATTAAGTTTTAAAAGGAAAGGATTGAATAAGATAAGTTTAAAAACTAAAAATACCTATTTTAAATTATAGGAACTAAAAGATAAAATAAAGTCAAAATATAGAAATTAAAAAATATTTTAACCTAAATTAAATAACTACAGCAAAATGAAAATAGGTTTTTCTTGTTTTCCTTCCATACACTTGCATCTCATTGACTGTCAACGATCCACAGTTAGAAAGGGTATATATTTTTTAAAAAATATATATAATTAATTGACAAAATATTTTATATTAATTTTCAAAATAAGTTGAAAGAATTATCTCTTGTTATATCTAAATGAAAATATGATATGTGACTATAAAGTACTTTATTGTCATGTTTTTTCCTATTACACTTATAAGTTTATATGAAATAAATTTTTAAGTTTAGTGTGACATGTAGAGACTACGAACAACATATGATAATAGATAGACTTAATTTTTTTTTCTTCAACAAAATAAGTAGGTTTAAATGTGTTTTTAGTTCCTTATATTTAAGATAAATTTATTTTTAGTCTCTTAAATTTAAAATTGGTTTTTTTAGTTCTTGAAATTTTAAAAAATCTTATTGTAGTCCACTTATTCAAATTTTGTTAGAAAATCCGTTAAATACTGTTGTATAAAATCTATTAATATCTTTGTTAGTGAAAATATCACATTAAACTTAGATAATACTACATAATTATCTTAATCTGTCACTTTTAGATATGTTATTGGTGATTAAAAGGATTAAAATAATTTTTTTTACAAATTATAGGGACTAAAAATAATAATTTTAAATTTAAAGAACTGAAAACAAATTTATTCCAAATTTGAGAGACTAAAAATATATTTAAGCCAAATAAAAAATACCAATGCTCAGAATGCAATATAAAGTGTTTTTCAAGTAATATAGGGTATGAATGTAATTGTATTCATAAAATAATATTTTTTCTAATCTTTATAATTTTAGTTCTTATGTATAATTTTTTTCTTTAAATTTGACGAACAAACATGACTACAACAATTAAAATGAAACATTTTTTTATAAGGACAAAATTAAAAAAGTAAGATATTTATATATTTTATTGGGACTAATATATATATATATATATAAACCCTTTCTTTAACATCTACAATTATTTTTGATAAAAAAATTTATAATCCATAACAATATATAATAAGGTGAATACTCCTTTTTTGGTGTAATTTTTTCAAAGAAAATTATACTCTTATGTTTTTTTTTATATATATATAAAATAGAAAAAAAAATATATGAAAAATAACTATCTTTTTAAAAATAATAACTGTCTACTTTATTTTTTGTGAAAACATTAATTTATTTGATTTTTTGTTTATAGAGATACGAAGTACTTTTTTCCTATTAATTACTAATTTAGGCAATATTTTAATTCGATCTTCACATTTATTGAGAGACTAACAAGATATTTTGTAAATGCTTATTTTTAGGATTTGAATCCCCTAAACTGCGGACTTTTTATTTTAGAAAATAAAGTGCACTTGTAACTATTAACTAAAAAATATTAAAATTTAATTTATAAATAGATATAAAACTAAATTAGATAAAAAAGTTTGAGAATTCCTAAAAATCCTCTTTAAAAATGTTCTCCCGCTAACAATTCATATGTAATTTATGAGGATCGATTTCCAAATTTGATTCTCCTATCTTTAATTATCTCCTATTCTTTTTAAAAAAAAATCACAATTTCATATATGTAATGCATCAATATATAGTCTTTATATGATAATCGTTACATCATATACATGCAATAATATGACATCATAAAATAAAATAATTCTTAGTACCCACTTTGTGTATAAACAATGTTTTTGAATTTAAATAGTCAACATACATAAATTTGATAGTTGTATCGAAATTATGATTTTCTTTTCTAAAATTACGTAACTAAAAGTAAAGAACCAAAATTAAAAATTAACAACTAAAGAAGGATAAAAATGCAATTTAAGTATAGAGGAAAAAAAAAAAAGAGGCTCCGAGGTTGATGGAGAACTGGGCCTAGTACAAGTGCAAAGTACAAGAGTGTTGTTTTGTTGAGCCCAGACAAGTTTATGTGTGGATATGACTTGTTTCGTCTCTTTCTTCCACTGGTGACTCCAAAACTCACATTGCTCCGGCCAAGCCAAATCGGAAAATGGGTGTCGACTATTATAAACTTCTTCAGGTAGATCGCAATGCCAGCGATGACGATCTCAAGAAAGCTTATCGCAGGCTTGCTATGAAGTGGCACCCCGATAAGAACCCTAACAACAAAAAAGATGCTGAAGCCAAATTCAAGCAAATCTCAGAAGCCTATGATGTATGTTTTATCTCACCCAATTGTTTGTTTCAGTGTAATGCCAATTGGGTTGTGTAGAAAAGTTAAACTTTTATCAAAGTCTTCATTTTTATTGTGTTTTTTTTTTTTTTTTTTCCCTTAGAATTTGAACTGTTAGGTGTCGAATTTTGCGTTTTGTTATTGTGATTTGGAGAATTGGAATTGTGGGGTTGATATGAATCTATGTTTTGTGCCGCCTATTCTCAATGTAATGTCAATTGGGTTGTGAAAACAAGCGGATGAATTTATCGAAGTTTCCATTTTTTTTTTAACTATTTCTTACAATTTGAACTTTTGTGCAACACTTTTTGAATTTTTTTTTTAAATTTTATTGTGATTTGGATAATTGGAATCAAGGGTTTTGCTAGTGATTTGGTTTGTGAATAGGTTTTGAGTGATCCGCAAAAGAGGGCAGTGTATGATCAGTATGGTGAGGAGGGATTGAAAGGGCAGATGCCACCCCCGGGTGCCGCCGGTGGATTTCCTGGTGGCAGTGATGGCGGGCCGACGATGTTCCGGTTCAACCCAAGAAGTGCAGATGATATATTTTCAGAGTTCTTTGGGTTTTCAAGTCCCTTTGGGATGGGGGACATGGGTGGCCGGGCCGGCGCATCGGGCTTTCCCAGATTTGGGGATGACATTTTTGCTTTTGGTAGGAGTGGTGCTGGAGAAGGCTCTGCCAATGTGCCAAGGAAAAGTGCACCAATTGAGAGAACATTGCAGTGCAGTTTGGAGGATTTGTACAAAGGGACTACCAAAAAAATGAAGATTTCCAGGGATGTGATTGATGCCAGTGGGTGAGCTATCTAGTTTAGCTTTTAGCATCTTCTTCATTTTTTTACTTCCATGAATAACATATGAAGTTGCTTGTTATAACTGTTATTGGATGGGTTGACTTCAAATTTCCAATTCAGGTTTGATGATTTGCTTTTGTTATATATTGTTGTTTGAGTTTGATAATCACTTCCCTTGATAATTTTGGTAGACTTGTAATTGAAATATACGTGTGCAGTCTTGTAGGCTCAGATTGGGTGGCACAACTTTTCACTGTATGCTCAGTTTGATTTTCTTTCGTTTTTCATACAAAAATCTGGCTTCTAACAGATATAGTTTGTTATTGCTATGATATTTTATCATTTTCTGTTCAATAGCCAATAGGCAAGATTTGTTTCTAACCATGTAAGTTCTGTGTATTTATCTAGTCATTAATTTTACTTGATAATGTGCATCCTATAACGTTGTGCCTTTTTTGGTCCATAACTTTTGGTATGTTCATGTTCATCAGCACTAAACTGACGGAAGTAATGTCATTTATGTTCTATAGAAGCAAAAGTAGAGGAGATATGATTGTCCTTAGTGAACAAGACTCATCTTCGTGTTATTTTAATCTAGAGGGGCCTGTTACCTGTATGGAGTAAATATGTATCACTTTGTGTTGGTTGTTTCGAGCCCAAACACATTGAGGGGCATGAGTCTACAAGTAAAATGAAGATGTTAAATGTGTTGGTTAACATGCCTGCAAAGCTGGCATAGGGATAAATGGTTTGTTTATTGGCATTAAGAAATAATAGGGAATTTAGCCATGTATAAATGTTCAGTTTAAGTCCATGCTTAGTAAAAGAAGAGGCCATTTATGATAATATATTGCTGGCATTGGGTACATATTCCAATTAAAATCAGCATTTCATCTCAGAAATCACTGCTGATTTTGGTTACCAAGATGAAAGCTGCGATTATTGAGATAGAATATCGACTTTGATTAGAGAATAGTTCCAATAATAACTATAGTATTGTATCTTAGTTTTCTCCTTATTGATAATGACTTTGGAATTTTATATCCATCAGACCTGTGATAGAGTATGGTGTTGAACTCTTGGTTAAGGCACGATGGAAGAATATGTATTTCCAAATGATTGAAAAATGAATTTTGGATTGTGATTGAATTGGAAAGTAGTTGGTTGAGAAGTTTTCAACTCAGTATTTGCCTGGCTTGCATTTGACTGTAGTTGACAGAAATTGGGCTTTGCATCCAAATATAATATATCTACGAAATCAAATGCCACATTTTTGTAGATGTTATTAAAGTGGACATCTGGATTAATACCTCATTGATTTTGTTAGGGATTTAAGTTTTGATGAGAAGTTTTAGGACATTCTATTACGCCCCACAGTATTAGTGAAAAATGTTTATTTTCAGTTGAATATAGGTGCAATTGTTGGTGAGTGTGCGTGCGCACTTGTGTTGAAACCACAAATTTTCATGCTTATGCTCGCAAATTAAAACTATGTGAATCTATTAACACTAGCTCCGATGCATCAAAACAAAGAAGCAACAGTTGCTGTGGATCAACTATTGCTTCTTCGTGTTGAGTAAGAAACTTTAGCAGTTAGGCATGTTTGTACACAACGCATATTTCTATAATATACGACCAACATCACAGATATGGATTCAGAAGTGTTTTAAGCAAATAATACATGCCAACCAGTAAATACCCATCATAAATATTTTTATTTGTTGACATTAGGTGTATTTAAAAGTAATAGCAAATTGTAATAGTAATTTGAGTGACCAAGAAAATAATTTACTATTTGTTTTCTTATTGTGAAGGAGGCCTACCACTGTAGAGGAAATTCTAACCATTGAGATCAAGCCTGGCTGGAAGAAAGGAACAAAAATAACTTTTCCAGAGAAGGGTAATGAACAAAGAGGAGTCATACCAGCTGACCTCGTTTTTATTATTGATGAGAAACCTCATGGTGTGTTCAAAAGGGATGGCAATGATCTTGTTGTCACACAGAAGATATCTCTTGTTGAAGCTCTGACAGGTTACACGGCGCAACTGACAACACTCGATGGGAGGAATCTTACTGTCTCCTCTGGCTCTGTCATTAGTCCGACATACGAAGAAGTTATCAAAGGAGAGGGTATGCCCATTCCAAAGGAACCCTCCAAAAGAGGAAACATGAGAGTGAAGTTCAACATCAAGTTTCCCTCTAGACTTACATCAGAGCAGAAATCAGGCCTTAAACGATTATTGACATCTTCATGAACACTGGTAATTGTGTAAGATTGGAATTATTTTTATTCTGGCTTTTCAATTTTCAAATGGAAATTCTTTCCTTTTGTGAGTTGGTTTTCAGTTAGAACAGTTTATATTAGAAGTTTGATATTTGTTTGCTGTTTCATATTTGTTTACCTTTTGGTCTTTTGAATGAAAAAGTTCTCCTAGCCACTTGCCTACTTGTTTCTTCAAAAAAATGTTTTGGAATACACTTGGAGATTTTGGTCTTTATTGTTGTCGTCTATATTTTTCATTGTATAGCTTTGATAGTCATTTTAGCAATCCACGAATTGAACTATGAGATGTAAAAATGCTTTGGTTCGATGGGCTAGTTTGACAACCCGGGCTTCGAAAAATGTGTCAAAAAAATTGGACGAATTCTGTTGGGCTCGATGGGCCATTTGGATTTGATTGGTTTGATAATTTCTAGGCTTGAAACCTAGTGATATATTAGGCTTGATATTTTTTATTTTAATATTTTCTTTTGTAAAATTCAAATAAAATTGGCTAATTTGGTTTGCCTCATAATTAAGAACCAAAACAATTCAATTCAAAGTGTTGAAATAGTCTAGTTCAATTCAAATTGCAGTTTAGTTCAATTTAAATTACTATCGGTTTAAATTTTTGTAGTATAGTTCGGTAAAACAAAAAAAATTGTTTAGCTCACTTGAACTAATTTTCAATTCTATTCAATTTAGGCAATTTTTTTGTTTAAGTTTAGTATAATTTTTATGAGTTTAATTTAGTTTATTTTGTCCACGGTTAGTTGAAACTTGAAACTACTTATTGGCTTGATACATGTTTGGTGGTTAGACTATTTATTAGTGAATCTAAAAAAATTTAACTCTTAAAATCCAAATAAAGAAATATACTAAAAAATATTGAAATAAGTAGATGCGATGTCTTTAGAAGGAAACATTGGACATAACATTATAAATTAAAATGTTATATTAGCTTTTTTATTATATAGGTGTAAATATTCATTGATTTTATTAATAACTAATATTTATTGATGAATTTGGTTGATTATCTTTAAAGAAGTTTCCTTTGTCAATCACACTTTTACCATTCATAAAATTTGAATTCGAAACTTTACTTAAAAGATTCGATATGAGCTTCACTTGTACTAACATACATGATCTTCTTTACGTTTTTATTCTTACGATTTGTTAGTGGTGGTATGAGAGTAAAACAAATCATACCATATCAGTTGTATCCAATGACAAGTGCGTAACACAATTACTAGTAATAAAGTTTGTCACATATTAGAGTGGACCAATTCACCACCATCTCAAAATTTGACATAGGAATAATGAGCCACATTATTATTATTATTATTTTTTACATTGGACTGCATACATGATAGGGAATTTAATAAAATGTCACTTGATCACTTAAAATAAACACGAAGTAATGAATATTGACATTGTAAAAAAATTTCATATAGAACTCCTTTACATAAATATAAAATAAAAAAATATGCTAAATTAAAATAATGTGTTTTTTAAAGTTTAAAACTTAATTAAGTCTAAAAAAATAAATATATATTTAGTGTAACATTTTATTTTTACTCGTATTCTGACTAACTTATTATTTTTATAATCAATGAAGCGACATGTCAAGTACGAGCTGTAGAGGAAGTGGTGTCCTTTGTTAACCAGTGTAGTTCTTGGTTACGGGATGATCAACATGCTTCATGATCATGATTCTCAATGGGAAGTTATGCTCCACTCAAAATTAATTCATCTTCTTTTGAATTCTTAGAAGAGTTGGGGAGGGTTGTTGATCATGACTTAGATGAGGTTGGCAACTTCTGACGAGGGACCATAGGGGTTGACACAATGTATTATAAAAAGGTTATGCTCAAGTGGTAACAAGTTGAGATAAGGACCAATCCTTTTATCATACTTTGAGCAGTGCACATAGGAAAAGAAGGCAACCAACACAAAAGAAACAAATGGGATTTTGGATGGCTACACAAAGGCTGACGGGGCTCTCATACAAGACATGTTTCACGAAGATGTAAGCTATGGTACATAAGTGATTGAAAGTTTGCTTGAAATATGGTCATATAACCAAAATTTGAATTATGGTAAGGGTATAATGCATAGGTTGGAACAAGGGGAGGGGAACCTTGAAAATATAGAACTTTTGGGTTCTAATGGACATGACAAGGTTGTAACAAATCCATTCAAAAGCATTGCATCAATGAATTGTGGTTCAAATATTGACCCTATTTCAAAGATGAATATTGACACATCAAAGGAAGGGGATTTGAGAGGTGATGAGTCGAGGCCAATACATCCTGAGGTGGACCATCTCTTGCCCAATGAAGTTGGTGTTGGAGTATTACACAACGATGACCACAACATCTCATTGGCGTCAGAATCTGTTTTGGAGAACACAATTGCTCTTTCTTGTAAAAGAATATCTAACCAAACAATGAGGAAAGATGTTAGGATAATATTTCATTCTTTTAACTAATTCCTTATCTTATAGTGACATTTGGAATTGTAGTAAGCTATTTTGGTTGAAGATAGAGAGGTCTTGGAGGTCAAAAAGACTTGGGAACTATAAAACTTTTTGGGAGTGACATATGGGGGATATAAGGTCAAAATTGTTGACAATTTAGTGCAAATGGAGGAAAAAGTCCAACAAAGTAGAAGAGATTAGGAGGGAGCTCTAAAATATAATCGATGAAAATCATGACCAACAACGTTAAGGGTTTGGGGGAAAAAGCTTAACTGGGATGTAACTTAAATATGATATTATTCAACTTTGTTTCATCCAAGGAAAACTCCAAATTGGTCTCAACTTTTGAGGAAGGGGAGATTAAGGTGGTTGTATGGGAATGCAACTATTCAAAGATCCCTGGACCAAACGACTTTAACTTAAAGTTTTTAAAGACTTTTTGGGGCCTTTGAAAGGAGATGTAATTAGATTTTTGATGGAGTTCCAAACAAATGGTAAGCTATCAAGAGACACCAATTCCTCATTGATTACTTTTATTCCAAAGGTTGATGACCCACAAACATTGGGGGACTTTAGGCCTATAACTTTGGTAGGTTGTATGTATAAGATTCTAGCTAAAATCTTAGAAAATATGTCGAAGGAGGTACTACCAACTGTCATTGATCATAAATAGAGCGCCATTTTGGAAGGTAGGAATTTGCTACAAAATGTGGTTGATACAAATGAGGTCATTGATAAGGCAAAAAGGAAAAAGAAGAGTTGTTTGTTCTTCAAGGTTGACTATAAAAAATCATGATTCCATATGTTAGGATTTTCTTTTATACACCATGTAGGCTTGGGGTTTGTAGACACTCAATTTCGTCTTGGGGCATACAAACAACAAGATAGGACATTAGAGGGCCCAAAAGCCCAAATTAACTATTTTTAGTGGCCCGGAACGGGCTGTTCCAAAATCAGAACGGGTCATTCCAAAGTCCGGAACGGGCCGTTCTTGAATTGGAACGGGACGTTCCGAGGCTCCTAGAAGGCCTAAGAATTGTAGGTTGGAATGGGCCATTCCAGACCAGAACGGGACGTTCCAAATCAATCAAAGGGCCTTAAAACCTTGATCTGGAACGGGCCGTTCCTAAACCAGAACGGGCCGTTTTGGTTTTTTTGGAACGGACCGTTCTGATTTTAGAACGGGCCGTTCTAGGGTGCAAAGTTAACACTTAACGTTTGTATCTGGAATAGGCCGTTCCAAATCCAGAACGGGCCGTTCCGGCCCACATCTGATATCTATAAATAGAAATCTCGGGCACAGTTCTCAAGGACCCTGAAAATTTTGTCTAGGACTCCTTAGACCTCAAAATTTCTCTCTCTCTCTCCTATTGTATTTCTTGAGTATTGTGAGGCAATTGTAGTGTGAAAGGTTGCCACAAAGCACCTATATTTTCCATATTTGAAGATCTAACAAAGCTTGCTACGAGATATTTTATTTAATCTTCTTCTCTTTCTTTTACTTCTTATTTTTTTGTTATAACAAAAGCAATCATGTAGATGTTTTAGTGTCAACCGTGTAATTTAAATTTCAAGCATGTAAATAGTAATTCATAAAGGGGATTTAATATTTAATTTATTATTTCTTATCACATTAACTTCATCATAGGGTACCGATTGAGGGCGTTGTAGGGGTGCTTAATACCTTCCCTACATGTAACCGACCCCCGAACCCAATTTTGGTTATCAAGGCCATTATTGGACTTTAAAAAACCTTTTCTTTTTCCAATGTTTTGAGTAAAACATTGGTGGCGACTCCATAGAACCTATTTTCAAAACCATTAATTAAGGATTAGTCTGGTGTCCGGGCATTCCTTAATTGATGAGATCTTTAAAAGGATGTCTAAACCATAGGTCGCAAGATCGGAAATTTTCGGGTTGCGACAGATGGCGACTCCGCTGGGGACGTTTAAAGAGGGTCAGACCCATTTAATTGATGAAGTTAATAAAATAAAAATTATAATTTAAATATTTTTCTCCTTTACTTTGTTTGTTTTATTTGTTTGGCTTTCATATCTGTTTGCCTGTTTAAATTTAGCATCTGTTTGAATAAAATTGTACATAATCCTTCGCACACAATAGTTCCCCTACACCCGGGGGCATGAGGGTATTAAATATAGGGAGTGGTTGACGTACGACCGGCCCAAGTTTGGTCTTGGAGCCTGCGAGTCTTGTCGAAAATCACACTCAAGATGATAACCGGTTATTCTAGCCTGAAATACTGCAACAAACCTTAGAGTTTGCCAGTTGACAGTGATAGAGATACTAGGTCCCTATAATGGGGGCACCTTGGGGGCCTTAAGACCAGTGAGATTAGAACCGTCCTATACAACACACTTTTCTTGACAGGGATCACAGACCAAGGATTTGATCATGATCGTTCGTGGGTGCATGTTGATTGAGCATATGTGTGCATTTGTTTGTATTATTTTGTTCTAATAAGATGGATTGGAATTTTAAAATAAGCAAACAATAAAGAAAAATAATAATAAATTTTTTTTATACTCCTTTGTACATTCTTAGGTCATCATTTCATTAACATCATATAGATAGTTTCCTTTTTTTTTTAAAAAAAATATTCTCATCTTTACCATGCATCATTTCTCTTTAGAC